CGGCGGCCGCAGCCGCTGCAGCAGCCGCCGCCGAGCCGGGAAAGGTGGAGAAGGGCGTCTGCTGCAGTGATGATATATTCTGACCAGATGACCACAGATCACTCGCCGAGCTGCCGCCGGTGTGGTAGGAGGAGGCCGTCTGCGCCGTTGAGCCGTAGGTGGAGGCGTACTGCGAAGGCATCGAGGGGTGACGCGGCGGTGCGCCGTGCAGCGGACTGGGCGTGTGCATTCGTTGACCGGGATACTGACTCATCAGACTCTGGTGCTGGCCGTAGGCGGAGCCCAGCGACTGGCTGGCAGCGAGGTGAGGTGGCGGAGGGGGCGGTGGCTGACCCATCGACAGGCCGTACGAGTCCATGGGCGAGGTGTGGGGCATTCCGTAGGCGGAGTTCTGCGAATACTGTGACCTGATGGCAGAGGATGCCGCTGCCGCCGCGGAGGGAGGCATTGCGGTGCCCGGATAGCCCGGATAGGCGCCCGGGTGCATCTTGTGGGACATGAGCGGGTCCGTCTGCGGGTAGCCGGGCCTCGGCGTGGGCAGCGAGTGGTATTGCTGGCCGGGCGGCACCGAGCCGGGCAGCATGCCCAGGTTCGGCTGCCCAGGCTGACTCGCGTTCTGCTGAGACGAGTTGGCCGGCGGGTAGCCCGAATGATACCCTGGGAGGAAGAAAAAGGAGGTGTTAATAGATCAAATCGGGTATTATGTAGAAAAGTACTGGACGTACCGAAAGCATCACCAATGAGCTGATAATCAGCCATGGTGATCTGCAGTGAGGAAGGTGGTTGTCACTGACCACTGTGTGGTAGTGGTGGTCAGTGGATATGGCGCCGAAATGAAGGACAGAAGAAGAAAAGAAGTGGGGAGAGAGATCACACAAACATCGTTGAGTAGGGAAAGATCGGTTGGCAAAGTGGTCACACCATCGGGCAGTCAGTTGCAGGTGCAGTCAGTGACAGTGTCAGACCAGCCTTGCACACTGGTTTGGTCGATGATGAGCGAGGTATACTTCAATAAATAATAAATAGAACAGTTGATGAGTGAACTGGTGATGATGATGGTGATGATGGCCACTGTTGATTGGAGAATAAAGTTGTGACGTATGCCACCGCCGCTCAGTTCGGTACGGTTATCCTCAGTGCGGCTAATATAATTAGTAGTAGTGCAGTGTTTTGGCAAATGGCGTCAACGGTAGAGTGACTGAAGAATCGAAAGATAAAGGGAGAGAGAGAGATTGAAGTAAAAGAAGAGAAGTGAGAGAACAGGTCTTCCGTAAGTAGTGAGGTTTCTGTGGTAATGAGAAGAACAAGTGAAGAAGAAGAAGAAGGTGATTAGATGGGGGGTATTATAATACACACAGAGACTGTGCACAATGGAATGAGAGCTCAGGAGAGGTACTGCTGCTGTCGTTGCTGACTCGGTTGTGGTCAATCAGCGGTGATGGAGATGGCGATGGCGATGGCAGCAGCCGAGCGTCCTTGCGGCGTCGGCGATACTGCCTGAGCAGAGCATTGGCTGCCTGTCAATGACCAGCACCGCCGCATTCTAGTTTGCAACAACAATGCGCCCGCCAACATTTTCACTCCTAAATCTTTCTCTCCTGCTCTTTCTCGTCGCTCACTCACTACACAAACAGAGTCGTCTCCCGAGAACGAGAACGACGACGACGATGGCAACTTGGCGGGCAACTTCTCTCAGGCAACAACTGGCGCAGCAGCAGCAGAGTGCTAGCTGGCTGAAGATGGGCGCCACAGTCGAGTTATCTGCGTCCAGTTAGACGGCGAGGGGGAATAGAAGAAGACGGCGGAGTAATCTTGGTGGCAGAAGCATCACCCTCTCTCTGCGAGAGAAGGAATTACAGAAACAAAATCAAGTCACACTGAAGACTCGGAGACAGAGCCGGCTGTAGCACACTACTCGTCATCTAGTGGTGGTGGTGGTGGCTGTTCAGAGGAGCAACGCAAGATCAGAGGAATTCGTCAGCCAGTCCAGCAGAAGCGGCACACTGCAGCGGACCACTCAGGCTACAGTGAAGAGTGAAGGAGAGCACACACACCACACCACCACCTGAGCAGTAAAGTGAGCAGGTAAAGTCACTCGGCGTCGCGACCACAAACAGCTCACCGACGGGTCGTCTCCTGCTCGCTCGCTCTCCTTGTTGCATTGTCTGCCGTAGGCTTGAGCAGTGTTGAATGCCACAGCAGTGGAGGAAGCACAGCGTCAAGTGATCAATATCGACACACGATATCAGAGCAAATCACGGCGTCGTTGACCAACGATTCTCGCCAACAGCACTGCTCTGCAGCTATTGCTGGCGCTGTCGACAGCTGCCTGCTCCAACTCTTGCGCCTCTTCTTCGTCCAACACTTCAGGCACTTGCTTGCTACCACCACCACCACCACCACGAACACTATACACAAAAAGCCAGGCAAGGCGACAATCGAGCTGCAGGCTGTCTGGGCTAAAAAGATTACTTCGTCAACTGCATACGATGAGCATTTCAGGTCGTACACACTGAACACCGAGCACGCCAAAAGCAGACAGGCAGGCTATAGTTTTTGACTAATAACAAAACCAGAACCAAAAAAGTTAATTGTCCATACAAATACAGCTTGAAATGAGCACTGCCATGCACACCAGCACAATCACAATCACCAGCACCAACTCGAGAGCACTAAAAGGCACTAGTGCATTGCACCATCACCATCACAACAGAAGCACAATAGCACATGAAGCAGCAAAATCAGAAGAAGTGGATTGAAGATCATTCTTTGTTCTTTGTTGTCTTTGGCTCGTTGAAAAGTTGAAGACGAAGAAAAGATGAATAATGAAAATAGAATTTCGAACCAGTTCTGGTGAATGGTGATGATGCTGCAGCAGTGACAACAGTGAAGTCGATGAAGCTGGTGCTGGTGATGATTGTGCTGGTGCACGTGGTGCAGATTTGCTCACACAAAAATGGCACTTGGCACTGACCCAAACATTTGACCGGCATCACCGGTCTAACCAGATGACATTGAAGCTAAGTTAGAGTTGAACGTACAACAGTCAAGTGAGTGATCTCTCGATGTGTTGTGGATCAGGCAAAGCTCGTTTGGGCAATGTCATCACTGTTGGATCACAAGGTGGCGGAAGAAGCAGCTGAAGTGAACCGGACGACCGACCGCTGAAGCTGGCCATTGGTGGTGGTGCTTCTGCTGCTGCTGTCACCGCAGCTCACGAGGGAACATGGGCCAGAAGGCCTCACACAAACTGTTGCGAGTGCCGTCGGCAGTGGCAACGGCTCAGGCGGTGAGAGAGAGAGAGAGAGAGAAGTTCTTTCTGTCTTTTGCTTATGCTCACTCGCTCACTCTATCTCTCTCTCTCTCTCGCCTTCTTTGTGCTCGCTCGAATTTGTTATTAAAACAGGCGATAATAATGGCGACTATTGCGAGTGAACGAGGGATAGGAGAGAGTAGGCTCACCGAGAGAAGCAGGCAAGTAAGCAAAATGTAGGGAGGCAGCAGACTGCCGTCAGCCAGCAGCAAACAGATGTGAGCAGCAGCAGCGAGCACCACTTAATTCCTATCGCTCTTCACGCACACACACATACACGCTAATCAGCAGCAATCAGCAAGAGTTGGACTGCGACGGTTGCTGCCAGTGTTTCCTCTCTCTGTCTTTCTATTTGTATGTGTGTGTGTGTCGTCCGACACAAAAGACGGCGAAGACAACGCGAATGAGAGCCACATATGCAAACGGCGACAGTGGTGAGGAAGAAGAAGTGCGGTGTGAGCGAGCACTACTACTCACGAAACGAGAGTCTCAGGTAAAGAAGGCGCAGAGTGTAAGCAGCAGCAGCAAGACAGCAAGGCAGTGAACGACAGTGAGCGTCTCTTGCGCGATCTCCCGGCTCAGAGACCAGGCATCGATGTGCGCTTGCATAAGCACCACACACACTCCTGTGCAGTTGCCGCTGCTGCCGCTTCCTCGCCGCCGCCGCCGTCGTCGTCGCTGCCCAGCACAATTCCTCCACCACCGCCAGCAGCAGCCATGCCACTGGCCGGCCTGAATTGAAAGAACCCCTCTGCAGCAGAACTGGCGCTAATGCCAATTCTGGCCACATTCTGCAAGTGCGGCGGCACATTCGCGCCGTCGTTGAATTCGACGGCAGAAGCAGCAGCAGCGGCGGCTGGAGAAGCGACAGCGGTGCGACTTTTGCGACTTCCCCCCACTGCCATCTCGACCAGGTCGCTCATTCATTCATTCATTTTATTCACACCAACCTTTGCTAAGACCCATAGTAAGTGTGTGTGTGACTGGGGCACTTTACTACAACAGCGAGGCACTACTAGTGCCAGCAGTGGTACTAGCACCATTATCAGCGGTGCATTGTGCACTTGAGGGTACCTGGGTGGCGGGTCGCCGCCGATTATAACGGTGTGCGTAAGAAAACACACGGGGGAGGGGGAAAGAGTGACAGTCTAGCAGAGAAATCAGTGCTTAGTCAGCGAGAGTCAGTGCCCCCACTTCTTGGTGGTGGTGGTGATGGTGGTGGTGGTGATGATGACTCGTGACTGCACTACATACGCCAAATGTAGTAGTCACGTGTCTGGAACACTTTGGCGAAGTCGGAAGAAAGCGGAATGTGCTGTCAGTGAAGGCCCTCACACTACTCGCAGGTAGATTATGGCATGGCATCGATGATGAGCCGCCTCAGCATCAGCGCACAGACTGAGAGAGAGGACGAGTTGCAGTGCATGCATGCACTGATGGTGGTGGCACTCTACTGCTGTCGAGTAGTGCTCATCGGTGCTTCGTCAATGGCATCTGCATCTGCAGTTGCCGAAGCAGCAGCTGCGGCGGCCGTCGAATCAACTCTCTTCCAGGCAGAGAAGAAGACAAGTTGTGGTGCCATTGGTGATGGTAATAGTCGTGGTGGTGGTGGTGGACTCGCCTCACTCGCGCGCACCACACGCTCGTAACTATGGCCGTCGTCTCTATCTTTGTCTTTGCCATTACATTTCGTCTGCAAAGACACCAAACGGAAAGAGGCAACTACTTTTCTCGAGAAAGAAATGGCAAAAACACACAGCTCACAGACTCCTCTCTCTCTCTCTCTCTCTCTCTCGCGATCGTTCGCTCTTTCAGATTCGACTCGCCGCGCATGCACCGCCAGTCCGAGACAAAGGAGAGAGGACAGGATGAGTTGCTGCTGCTGCTATGGGCTCAATGACGGACAGCAGCGCGCGCTTCCATTTCCTCTCTCTCTCTTTCTCTCTGCCTCTCTTCATTCGGTTCGTTGGCGACATGCACCCGTTAGTGAAGATTTGCACTTACGGCTACTGCTACTGGCACCGTCGCTCACTGCGACCACTACCGTTGCTGCTGCTTCTCACAGCCGCTGCCTTTTCGGGACCGCCGTCGCCGTCGCCTCAGGGTCAGGCATTGTGGGCAGACTGTCGGTCGGTCGGTGGGCTTCTGCCCTTTCCACTGCCTTCTCTTGCCAGGGGCCACCATCACCACCACCACTCTCACTTCCTCACCAGACATGGCGATGTGCAATTTACTTTCTCATTTTTTCTAAGATGATTGTCTTTGCTGATGTCATTAGCGGGCGAACGGTAGTGTAAATAGTTTGCACTGTTCTTACTTACTCTTACTTACCCGGCATTAGGAACCGGGAGAAGGAAGATGAAGGCGGCAGGCAGTGTGGGACTGCAACAAAACAGCGGCAGCACCGGCAGAAGCCGGAGGTGGCCGCAACGGCAATGTACCGGCATAATAATACTGTATCGAGTAGTACCAGTACAGCAATTCCACGCCGCCGACGGCGCTTCTGTTTGGCTTGGCCAGGGAAAGTAACCAATAACCAACAAGCCATACAATGCTATACCAGAAACTGATTCGGGAGCTGGAGAGAGAGAGAGAGAGAAAGAAAGCGTCTAGGACTGAAGACATGTGAGCCGGGAAGACATGTGCAGAGAAGCGTGTGAAGTGAGGGGAAAAGTACCAAGAGAGAGGAAAAGCACTCTCTCTCCCTCTTCCACTTCTCTTGTACGGCAGCCCTGACGTACCACCACCAGCGGGGCAACCCGCACGTCAACGTAACCCAACACTGGGAATCTCTCTCCGGCAGTGTCGGATGTCAAGTGAGCCAGTGAGAGGAAGCCTGCTCCACAGGAGCCGTCGTCACCGCCGCCGCCGCCGATGGATTCTCAATCGGGCAGTATCGAGCGAGTGGACCAGCGCGCGCGATCAACGTGTCAAGAGCAATGTGCTGCCTGCGATGCTTAATGGCGGCGGCAGCGGTTCTAGCGATGGCACACGGCGCGGAGATGGCAGCAACACAAGACACTACACACACACACATTTACTGGCCACCACCACCACCACCGCCGTCAGAGACGTCGGTGGTGGTGGTGAGACAAAGGCAGCTAGAGCAGTGTGCTCAGGCACTTTGGGCTCACTCACTTAGTCGGTGCTGTGCTGAATATATAGAGTGGGCCCACACTCCTCTGGCGGCAGGAGCGAGATTTGTTTTTTAAAACTCGACTCAACGATGATTATTAGACGCTGGCTAATGAATCCAGGAATATGGTGGCGACTGCACATCACTCGCTACCCGTCTCTCCCATTCCCATTCCATCTCGCTATGGCTCTCTCTCACTTGCTGCTGACTGGCTCACTTTTTTGCCTGCACGGGTAGTACTATCGATCGATTCGGAGTTTGCTGTTTGTTTGGGCACCATTACACTCGGGCTGCCGATCATTTACGGCTGCTGCTGCTGCTGCTGGTGAAGGAGGCAGTGAGTGGGGCTGGCAGGCTGACTACTCTCGACTGCCTTCGATTCGCGACAACAGCAGCGACGACGGCGGCAGCCACCGCGGCTTACGATTAAACGGGAGTGTCCGCGGCGTCCAGCACCGCAGCACCAGACATACACTCAGACGGAGAGTGAGAGATTAACTGGCACGACCAACTTTCACCGGTGGTCGTCGCTCTTTCGGTGTCTGTACTGCTGCTGCTGGTAAGGAGAACGATAACTGCAATGATAGTGGGGGGAATGGCCAGTGAACACACTGGTGTGATGGGAGAATAGATCAAATGATCTACCAGTAGTTCAACGTAATGATGATAAATACACTAGGGAGCGGGAGCTGATCTGAAGAGCAGTGTTCAGGTGCAGGGCCAAAGAAAAATATGCGATACCAGTAGAATCTAGAAGAAGCACCCAGCGGTAGAAGAGTAAACACCGAACACACCAAAACACGCGTTTGATGATGGACTTTTACTAAGTTTCATAATAGTAATCTACGTCTGTCAAATCCAGATGATAAACAAGAGACACTCTACACACGACGTAAAGTTGAGTGAGTAGCTGTTATCAATGACTGATAACAGGGGTAGTTGATACGCTAGCACACACAGACTTGCACACACACACACTTGAAGATAGAAGCCGATATGGTTCGGTAAATCGAAACTTACCAGAAGTACAGACGGCGTTGCTGATATCAGTTGATTAAGTAATAATAAACTGAAGAAAGAAGAGAAATGGCAATTCACTGGGAGCCACAAAGAGGCCAATATCACGAAATAGAAGTGTGCAACGACTCAACTCGTCTGCTGATGTTGTTGATGATGCCTCTTGAGGAAGGTTAGTAGACTTTCTCCCTAGCTCACTTCGACCAGGATCAGCCGGTAGATCACCAGCAATTGTAGACGTTGTTGGTGTTCTCTTGTTGACTACCACTGTTGTCAGCAGTTCTATCGCTCGGTAGATCAGATCAAAAGGGAGCGTAACTGTTGTTGTCGTTGTCGGCTTCTGTTTTGTTGACGATGCCACGATGGCTTTAGGTGTGACGAGTACATGTCAGCGCCGATCTAAGGTGAGGCGGTGTCGGTGGTGTTGCTGATAAGATGAAGAAGAGGTGATTCAGTTGCGATGTTCCAGAGAGGTGTATTAGATAAAAAATAAATAAAACACAGACACAAACACACCAGCAGTGGTAGTAGAAGAGAGTGTAGAGAACACGAGAGACCGTGAAACCGTAAAGGCAACACTCTGAAAAGCAGGCAAAGAAGAAAGAGAAAGAGGATTGGAGTGAGCCACTCTGTCTGTCTGACTCTCTCGTTGTGTGCTGTCTTCTGCTGCTCTCTTCTGCAGGCTGCCGCGGCTTTGGCGCTGGTGAGCTTCGAGCCCAGCACGCTAGGTTCGCTCTGCCCTAGTGCAGGACAGTGGGAGGATTCTCTCGGGGGAGAGAGTGCAAGTGGGAGAGGATGATGATGATGATGATCGTCTCGTGGTCAGTCGTGGCACATTTGAAGACGACGACGACGACAGCAGCGGCAGCGGCAGCAGCGAAGCAGCGGCGACGGCCAGACGTCAGGCATCGTTTTTTCGAGTCATTGTTCAGCCTCCATCTTGCGAATCCTGAGCATCGCCGAGTGCACTCGCAACGTTGCTCACTCGGAGAACGGTAGGAGGAGCTTTTTGGTGGAAGTCGTAGTGGCAGTTGCCGGCTGCTGCTGCAGAGCAGTGGACTCGGCTGAATCTCTTTGTCCAGACTGCCACCACCACCACCACGACCACCACCGTCACCACTACGACCGTCACGACCACGAGTGGCCTCTGTTGGCTCACCTTTTAGTCAGCACCAGCACGGTCAGACGCAGGAATCACCGATCGGAGGAAGGGAGAGAGAGAGAGAGAATCCTGACTGTAGCAGCACTAACTCTTATGCCACCACCACAAGAGAGACGGTCGTCTTCTTTCGTTCATTCACATTCAATCTTTCAGTGCAGGCAGCAGCAGCCAAGGCAGTGTGAGCGGCTGAAGTAGCTGTTTGGCGGTGAGTGGAGGCGATAGGGCGGTCGCCGAAAGAGACGCCAGGCGCCGGTGGCCCGAACCGCTCTCTGGGCGCCTCAAATCGAAGAGGCAGTGAAAGATGTGGAAGGAAGGGGACGATGGCGCACTTGCTCTCACTGCCGCAGGCACACTCACACTCTTACTGATCTGTCTCTCTGTCACTGTCACTGCTCAGTTCAGTTTAGGTATATCCAACTCAGCATCATCATCACCATCATCATCACACCAATGGTTGAAGACAGGGGTCTAGGGCTCTTTTCTCCACAGCTCAGTCCGACATCTATCTGCCCCTGAACACTTCCGGTGATAGGCACTGGAAGTGTGCAAGTGCTGCTCGGAAAAACCTGGTCACTGAAGTTGAAGTTGACATTAGGTACTGGTAGTGGTGGTGAAGGCCAATAATAGCCGTAATCGTCTGTTTCTGCATCGGACGTTGAACCGATGTAGAGAAGGTGCAATCGACAGACAGATTTGATCATCAACTTGGATGTTTTTCAAAAATGAGCCACCAGCGAGAACTGAAGCGCTATCTGTCTTCAGAGAACGTCACTAGAGAATTGGAGGATTTTTATGAACTGATCGACTCGGATTTTTCTTATTCAGTTTTCGATTTTTTGCAACAAATCTTTTATTTTTTGTTGTTCAACGTTGATTTGCTAAGATCAAGGTTACACTTTCAGTTGAGTCAGCTGACTTGGTTTGCAGTGAACAATGTGCTTTTGCTCAGTTTCTGGTGGAGCCATTATTCGTTTGGGCGTTGTCACGCATAACACTGCACCCTCATAAAAGAGTGGCAATTTATGAGCGAGAATATTCCAGAGTGAGTCGACAGTAATATTTTTTTGCTCGAATGTAGTCAGCCAACAGCAACAACATGGGAAATAAAGTTGCCATTTTCACTGATCAGCAAATTGAGAACTATCAGGTACATCTTATCAGATTTCTTTTATCAAGCTTTCCTTTATCATCTTTTTGCCTAATTAGGACTGCACCTACTTTACCAGGCAGGAAATTTTGGCGTAAGAATAAATGAATAAAGCTCAAAATCATAATATTTGCTCAAGTAACTTTGTTTACATCCAGTGTTTTCCGGCGGTTTCGAGACCTGGATCCAAAGTTGGTGCCAATGGTGATGACCGGCGATCAGCCGAGCACTGTGGTCATGCCACTGGAGACGATACTGAAAATGCCTGAAGTAAAGGTTAGTTAAAACGTTAATAGTTGATAAAATTACCATTTTTACTCTCAATTTCGTCAGGAGAATCCCTTCAAAGAGCGCATCTGCAAGGTCTTCTCTCACGACGGCAGCGGCAACATGAACTTTGAGGACTTTCTCGACATGCTTTCAGTTTTCAGCGAATCGGCGCCTCGTAGCGTAAAGATGTACTACGCGTTCCGCATCTTTGATTTCAACGGTGACTCGCTGATCACTGAAGAGGACATTACTCAGGTGGTGACCGCCCTGACGCGTGGTGAACTGGGACCCGATGAGGTGAAAATTGTCTGTGAGAAGGTGCTTGAAGAGGCTGATATGGACGATGACAAAGCCATTTCACAGACAGAGTTTCAACACGTCATCACCCGTTCACCGGAGTTTATCAAGTGAGTAAAAATATCTTGCCAATATTTTAAAGTCAAAATAACGTTTTGTACATCCTTATCTTTCCTTTCCTGCCCCCAAACCGCAGCACCTTTCATATGCGCATCTAAACATTGGTCGGTTTGGTTTAGCAACAGTTTAGTGATTGAAACAGTAGTAGTAATTCTTTTTTATTATAGAAAATAAACGGATCTGACAGTCGATAAAAGAGACAAAAACAGTTGAGATGTGCTAAATATGAAAAAATAAGAAAAAGAAGGCGTCTGAAGATGAAAAAGAGTAAACAAGAAGTAGTGTCCTGTCTAGCAGTAATAAAACGACAGACAGAAGGCTAGCACTGCTCTGCTGTACAGCATACAAGTGCACTGGCTGTAGTGGAAGTAGATGTAGAAAGAAAAGATAATAAAAAGAGCAATTGCAATGGTTTTTGCTGGTTATCACATAAGGAGCATTGCTTTGTAACAGTACTAGTACGCTGTAGTAGTTGGGGAAAACAAGTAGTTGGAAAGCTAATGCGAAGATAAGCAAACGAGCTCAAAAACCATGATCTTGGTAGCGGTAGTAATGGGCACTTGTACGCGACAATATCATCTGAAACTACTGGCTGTAGTAACAATAGGGCTAGTGACTAGCCTAAGTTCGAGTCATCGTTGAGTAGGGTAATGCAATTAAAGACGGATTCATTTGGAAGAGAAAAGAAGATATCTACTTTAGGCGACACCATTCTTGTACATCGTTTCGATGTTCTCTATGAGCAGATGAATTTGTTCTGCAAAAAGGTAATTGATTGGTTTTTGATTGCCAAAAAGAGAAATATGACTTACCTGAAGTGAGATTGGCGATAGTGCTTTGTTTTCTGAGAAACTCTAAACACAGTCCTTTTGGCAGGCCAAAGCTGTGCATTTGATAGGTGAATGTGCCCAGCTGACCGAAGGTGACATTCGCCTGGAACTGCCAGTCATCAAGTGCATCTTGCTGCAGACTGCTGATCATCACCGAAGACGGCGGTCGGTGGTGGTGATCAGCGCTCCGACTTGATTCGAAGAAAGTAACTCGCTCAGTTTGGACAGCGTCAAAGAAGGCGGCGTTCCAGAAACGCAGTGACCGCCAGATCGGCTGGTCACGCAACACTGAACTGAGGTACTGTTTGTTGCTGATGTTGTTGTTAGAATTAGAGTTTTTGTTGGTTGCTGCATTGCTACGACTGTTTCCGCCCGACCAAGGTCGACTGGCCGGTTGGTGGTAATAAGTGAAGCACATGTTCATGAGGCTTTTTGCTGGAGTAAAGTGGTCCGCATCGGCGCATTCAAAGAGCACTATGGCAAAGTACTGCGCTAGACTATAGAAAGTTGACTCGGAAACGCGTTTGTTTTCATTTCGCTAGTTTGGAAAAAGTCGTTGAGATAGTTTGATCAAAATTTACTTTCCTCACTTACCTCCTTGGTAATGTACCGCCCGAACCAGACGCGACCGCTTTCTGATCGTGCATACTGCCCAAAGCTGGCCTTCTCTTCAAGGCTGATAGATGAACTAAAAGAGAGGCAGTATAAACAACCAGCAATGTTTACTTTTGCTATTATCATTACCTGTTGGAAAAAATCTTCTTAACAAAGTCTCGCATGAACGACTTTGCCTCGCGAGACATCTCATCCACTTCAAACTGGCTGTCAATGCTGCAGCCTGAAGAGGTGGAGTTTGAAGATGGACATCGAGCGTGCGTCTTGTTTCTGTAGCCTCCCTGCAGCTCCTGCTCATTGTCGGAAGATTCAACACTGGTGGCCAGGTCGCTGCTGCACACTGCCGCTCCTGCCGACCTTCTCCCCTTTGTGCTGCTGACCATGACATCTGCCTTGTTGCACAGGTGCTGGTGCTGAGACTCAGTGGCCCTCAAATCTGAACATGAGGTCGAGGTGCTGCCCATGCCACCATTTCCGCTGTCATAGGTGTCCAGTGAATCGAGACTGCTCCACTGTTTGCCATTTTGAAGGCCAGCACTGCTGCAAACTGCTGTGGTCTGTTCCACTTCAGGTTGCCCGTACACGGAGCGCATTTTCTGCTTTCGGTTGACCGACATCGGTGATGTTGTTGACGTGTTGATGCCACTGGCAGGTTTATCATGAAGCAGTGTTTTACCGGTGCCTGCTGCCAGCTGAGCAGTCGTCCCTGACTGAAGGTCACTGAAGGTGGCCTCCCACTTGGAGGAGATCTCCTGGAGAATGTTGGCTTTAATGTTGCGCAGTTTGCTAGAGTCAAAGAGGCTGACGCCAGTGCCACCGGCGCTAACCTTGTTGCGACTGTTGTTGCTGCCGGTGCTGTGACAGCGATTGAGATTTGCTCGCAGCAGAGCAGTGGTATTTTGATGAGGAGGAAGCGGCGATTGAGAGGATGACGCCATGGTATTTGCAGTAGAGAAGAGCAGTAGGTGATGAAAGGCAACAGGAGTTTATTCAAGAGGAAAAAGTAGGAGTAAGAGTAGTAGGAAAGGCGATTTGAGCGGAGAGCGGAAGAACGGTAGTTATCAGTGCTGCTGCATCAGTGTTTTGTTTCCTGGGCTTTGCCGAACTGCCACTGCTGACGATCACTGCCAAAATGAAACTGCAATCGTCCTGAGGCCAGAGAGGCCGTTGTTGCTAGGAAAAGACACACACACACTGACTATTGTGTGGCAATTGAGGTGGTGGTGGTGTTGGTGGCACTGTCAAAAATTAGGACTAGTGGATGAGTTTATAAAGGATTTTAACAATAGTGAAGGATCATCAAGCTGGTGGTAGAAGCTGTAGTGAAACTGCCATCATTTCCATTTCCATTGCCTCTGCTGCTGCACACTCACCCACTGCAGTTCGTGTGGTTGTCAGGATTCTCTCTAGAGGATAGAGCAAAACAAAGCAAACACAAACAGAGTTTTACATTTAAACCAAATTGATGATGAAGAAGATGATGGAGAGACCGGCAACCAACGAGTGCTCTAGTAACAACTGCTAATGAAGGCCACCAGCTTTGCTAAAACTAACAGTGAAAACCGTGCAGGTGTTTGTCAATGCACCACTCACTCAATCAGGGCAGAAAGGCTGCTCTCCTAAATATTACCAGTGTGTGCTTGTCATGCTTATCTTCTGTCTATAACGCATTTGCACATGCTAAAAAAAGCTGCGAACTCGACTATTGCCAGAGTAAAGTAGAATAGTACACCTACCTATTATTTCAAATGAAGATGGAAAACAGTTTGAAAACAGAACAGTGCTGGTGGAAATTGAAATGGAGCAGAGTGTTCAAAATGTGAAGCTTTTCCTGGCAGCAGACGCTGATTGCAGTGGCTACGGGCGATTGCCGATGACAAAGTGTGAGAGCGAAACCAAATCACAAAAAGCAGTAAAATAAAAGAGGCACTTTACTTGATTTCAGGGCAATTTTTGGAAGTTCACACGCAATCACAATTCTTACTCTTCTTCTTCTTCTTTTTCTTCCACTTCTTTGCAGCCCAAGAGACCAGAAACCCAAACACACGTACACTTTCTGTCTAAATTCAAACTGTGATCTTTTCATGCCTCTCAAATATGCACTCAGCCAGCAGCGGCGGCTCTCAGTGAAAGGCCGCTTGGCACATGCACCAAGCGCTCTCAGTGAAGGATCGATCAGTGCAGGCAGTGTATGTGTGCAGGGGCCATCTAATAATAAGGTCAGCCAGTGACACAGTGAGAGTGAAAGTGTGAGAGAACTGCTGCTGCTGGCACTACAATGTATGGTCAGAATCAATGCGAATCGCTCAGCGGCGGCGATTCTCTGAGCAGGCGTCAGGCCTCACTGTGGGGAAATTGTGAAGCGCCGGTGCACTGCCGAACTCACTCACGTGCTACTCGCTTCCTCCTAATGGCTCCACTTCTTTGCCCGCTTTTGCTATAGCGCACCAGAAGACACCAGCGCTCTGACTCAGCTATAGCTATAGCCGCTCTCTCCCTCTCACACGCTTTCCTCACCCTCTTCTATTTTCAATCCTAGCCATACCGGCGGACAAATGTACCTAGCAGTGTTGATTTGAATAAACTTGATTATCTTAGTTTTTTTGGTGACTGAACTGCGTAATGGTTGAATTAAGCAGTCAGCGGGCTGCACAGTTCGGCTGTAGTCGGTGTCCTTCACACCACCAGATCGACTCATCGCTAACCCATTGTTTCAATGATCTTTGCTTGCTGCTGTTGCTGCTGCTGTTGTTGCCAATGTACGAAAACAATTTCTGCAGCCAGCCAATCAATCTCTTGATGGCACTTGATAAAGAAGGAGAAGGGGAGTGGGAGAAAAAGAGAAACAGTAGAAATGGCTCAGACTGCAGCAACTGCAGCTGCTGCTCTGATGGTGCACTTTATTTAGAAAGTTGCTGCAGTCGCTTGATAAGGACCGCTTAAAATAGACTACATCGACGATGCTTTTGCGCTTGTGTGTGTGTTTGTTAGTGTGTGTGTCTATTGAAAAACTGATGCGGCACCAGGGAGACCAGTCGAGGAAGACGTGACTGAGGGCTCATGGCTTCGTACACCGATGTAGAATAAATAAGTAAAGTTGGTTACACTGCAGTTGATTACCACCTCCGCTAGAGAATGCAATTTATAGTGGTCATTTTGTGTCAATTAAATCGTCATTTAGTCAGCTAGTAAGTATCAGGTCAGAACACGTGGTACCCGAGTCGCGAGCATTTTGTTCAGTACTTGCCATTGAGGCTCATCAATGCTGGCAGTGCTGATAAGCAGTGGGCAAATGTTTCAAAATAAGCAAGTGAAGATAAGTCGAGCCTGCCTGAGTGTGAGATGTACGCTGAGAAATGCAGCTCGGTACAGTGGCTTTCACCCCCTCGCCTCCCTTTCCCCGCTCTCTGCTCTCACTCTTATCAGTCCAATATATAAATTGGCTAGTACTTCGATAGTGCGGACTCTGTGCCGTTCATTCTCTTTCTTTATCCACAGACACACACAGGCATGAAAGTGCGTCGTCGTCGTCGCCAACATCAGCA